AATGGTAGTAATTGCTCGAATAAGCAATTGATTATTCTAAACATTTTTTTTACATTAAGTCTATAAGCAGTTTTTTGTCTTCTTACAGAAAATGAGCCCTTGTTGCATTTGGATGATTATAAATTTTTGCAGGTGTAATTATGGTCTTATAAATTAGAAGCTTAGTATATAACGTAGGTAAACACAGATTGATAATATATATTTAACTTCCCGTAGGGTAGTTACAGTAATGGGCCGAAGATAGAAAATGAAAATTTTTGCATTCCTCGATGTTTTGAAAAAATGGATGTGTGTGTAGTTTGTATGTCCACATTTTTTCGTCCACGTTTTCAGGCGCACTGATCAACCGATTTCAATGGTTCAAAAAACATTCGATTCCTATTGATAGGAAAATGTTCTGATTAGTTTTTGGCAAAGGCAGGTCCAGCCATTACGGAGATACGGAGCAAAGAGTGCAGAAAATACAAAGTTTATGAGAGAAAATACAGAGTTTTTGAGAGAACGGAGTATTCGATTTGAATGATCTAAAAAACATTCAATTTGTAATGATTGGGAAAAGAGGTGATTAGTTTTTGACAAAGGCAGGTTCAACCATTTCGAAGATACAGAGCTAAATGTACAAAAAATGGCAGTTTTTGAGAGAACTAAGCCTCCGATTTGAATGACTTAAAGAACTTTCTGCTTGTTTCAACAAAATAATTGCTTTTGGAAAAAAAATGTTTGTTTCAAATTATTTAATTTTTTTTAAAAAAATTTTTTTGTATATCGAAAATAATTCAGATTTTATATTTAATTCGGACTAGAGTTCTAATATACTTTAAACAAATTTCAACTTTGCAATTCAGTTCATATAATTCTTACAAACATTAGAGAATCTTACAGTATTTATAATTATTTCTTTGAAAATATTTAATATTTTGTTACGGTACGGGAAGTTCCAGCAATTTGCCTTAAGGCACGATGCCATGCACTCCACTAGTTATTTATATATTTACACTCCACTGCGGGATGGCAAAATACAAGTGATTTTATTTTACAATTATCATACAATTGGTTGCTATTACAATTGTAGCCATATGGAGGGTTGCTACACCAGCCCCCTACATCCTACTGAGACCGGAGGTCAGTAGCCTAAATTTGACCTCCCGTTCATATTTTGTTCTTTAGTATTTTGGATCTGATGTTTCTGGATCCTTTAAGATGGAGGCTAGCTTTACTCTTTACTATGGACTCACTGGTAGACACTTAGAAACAAATAACTATATAACAAATAGAAACTGTTAGACAGATAGATAATATGAAAATCATTTTTTGATTAGGTCGATTATTTACTTATATCGAGAAGTTAGTGCAACTTGCCTTAACGTCATAATGACTGCACATTTTTGCAGCAATTCAGTGTTTAATGACGCCAGCTTATATGCGCTAAAAACTGAATGATACAGTCCGGCGATACTTTTACTCTTATCGTGAAAAATTTAAAACCGAAAGTTAGAAACATTACTATATTAAATTAACAATCTTATAAATATCAATACGTGGTTATAGGCAACCTACTCCAAGAAGAATTTTATGGAACATTAAATGGTAACATAAATATTTACATATTTTTGTTTGATTTTATAGCTGCAGGAAAAGTATTCGCTGATAGAACGAGTAAAGACTAATAATAAGTATAGACTATGTGCGCTTTTAGATTTCCTAGCATTTTGCACCTTTATTATTAGAGAGATTATATACACATAAAGAAATTGTAATGACATATTAACATATCGCCAAGAAATTTATAACCATCCAAAGTTACATTTGAAGGGATTTGAAATAAACAGCGGTGTTGCGAGTGGGGTCATTGCTCAATGCCTCTCTACTGTGGGCAAAATACAAAAAGTTTCTCAAATATGGACTACCATTGGCGATGAATTTTGTTTGTAATTTTCATTATATTCAATTTATATGAAATTAATTAATTAATTAATATTGTTTATATTTTCTACTGTTCTGAAAAAAATGTATTATATGAATTAATAAAAACAAACAAAAAATTAAATATTAATATTAAAAATAATTATGATTTGTCTTTTGAGTTTTTAAAATCGATTTAGAATTGAGAGCTAAAACGTGATCGAAATTTTTCACTTTTCTGCTATTTTTGAAGAAACGACACAGCCGATCGTAACGAAAAACTGACAAACGATAGTCCTCATCGGGATATATCGATCGTATTATACAAAACTTTTATCATGTCATAAATGACCAAAAAGAAGGAAAAGATCCATGTATGCTGAAATCGTACAGACCCATGAGTTTACTTTCTATTCTTTCAAAAATTTATGAGAAACTTTTGCTTAAAAAAAATTTAAGCGAATTAGAAAGCAAAGCCATTATACCCCAATACCAATTTGGATTTAGAAAATTGCATTCGACCATAGAGCAGACTCATAGAATTGTCCATTATATAAATAAATCACTAGAAAAAAAAGGACTGTTCAGCAGCATTCTTAGATATACAACAAGCATTTGATAAGGTATGGCATATTGGACTATTCTATAAAAAAAAATTAATTTGACGTACTCTCTATATTTAATAATAAGATCATATCTGTCAAATAGGAATTTTTATGTAAATATTTTAGACACTGAATCATCAAATAAGACAGTTTCCTCAGGTGTTCCACAAGGAAGCGCCTTGGGGCCAATTCTATTTCTAATATACACATCTGACATACCAATAACAACTAACACTTTGATCGCTACGTTTGCTGATGATACGTGCATTCTAGCCAGCCATATAGATTCCAGTTCTGCATCTGAGTTACTCGAAAACCATTTAAATCTATTAGAAAAATGGAACAAAACCTGGAGATTTGAAATGAATTGCTTAAAGTCAGTACATATCACATTTACGCTTAGAAGAGAGACCTGCCTACCAGTAAGAATAGGAAATACTCAAGTACCTCAAGAAGACCATGTGCAATATCTCGGCATATACCTCGATAGAAAACTTAATTGGCGAACTCATATAAAAAAAAGAGACAACAGCTTGAGACAAAAACCAAAAAGCTTTACTGGTTACTAGGAACTAAATCCGAACTAAGCTCATACAATAAGCTACTTTTATATGAAACTTTATTCAAACCAATTTGGTATTATGGTATAAAATTGTGGGGCAGTGCTCATAAGACTAATATAGAAATTATACAGAAATTTCAAAACAATTATTTGAAAATTGCCTTAGGAACTCTAAAATATGTTCCCAACTGGTTGATTCATGCTGACACGAATACACCTACCATAAATGAAGTAGTAACAAAAAGAGCACAGAAGTATAGAAACACCCAAATACATTAGCAAACTCATTGATAACAGAGAACTATCCAAGAAGATTGAAAAGAAAAGCGCCACCGGATTTAAGCCATTAACTCTCCTGAAAAAAAAATGGAAATAACTTAATCATTATTTATAAGAAATTATTCAATAAGTAAATAGTTAAAATTATATAATTATCAATAAAATATTGTGAATTTAATATCGAATAGAAAAAAAAACAACTACTGAGTTGTTTTTTCCAACATGCCAATGTAGTATACAATGTCCCTTTTCGGCCGACTATTGTAAATTCATCGAATTTACTGAATGTCCTTTACTAGACAGTTGTAAATAAAAGAGTTAATAAAAAAAAATTTGAGAACACAAAAACATCAAAATTGATCAAAATAGAAAATCACTATAATGCGTTTTATTGGTATATAATGATTATGCATATAATCTTATATAAGTATAGTGTACTCTGTAATGAAAATAATGTTGAAATGGAAATGTTTTTCTTTTTTTTTTTTGCTTTCTTTCTAATTTTTCATATATATATATATATATATATATATATATATATATATATATATATATATATATATATATATATGTTAAAGAATTTAGTTTTGATGTTGCGAAATATGAGTAAGTTCTTCAAGGGCAATACAAATAAAAGGCAAAGATTTAGAAGTTAATCTTTAATTTTTTCCAAACGTAGGATTTTATGTCTTCATCATAACGTTGATTCTCGCTTCGGAGATATACGTATTAACTACTTTTTCCGCGCGAAATATATTATATTTCACAAATACGTTGCTATGCTATTTCAACAAAAACAAAAAAACAAGTTAGTGTATATATGATAGTGCAAAATTATGTGCCTTGCGCTAGTTACTGATGTAAGACCATACTATATCCATTGATGAATAATATAAAATCGAACTTTCAATTGATGTCTTCGAACGGTTTTAGAATTCTCAAATTTGGTTCAGGATTTTTAGCGATATTTTTTTAATTCGACATTTTGGCAACTTTTTATACAGTATTTATTTCTTACTGACCGATCTATCAGCACGTAATACTATCAGTGCTAGTCATTGACAGGAAAGTTTAAGAAAATGTCATTAATGTCGGGAAGGTACAAAATCACGAAATAGAAATAATGAAAATAATAAAACTAAATACAAGTTTCAACAAATAAATAATTTAAAAAATAAGTGTTTCTTTACTAAGAATAATTTATTAATTAATTATTATTTGATTTTGTTATTAATTAGCATTTGAATTGTATATTATCACTTATAACAGAGGTGCAGAAACACTGGTTTCTTTTCCAAAACAAGTTTTGTCAGGGTGTCGATACAGCAGGGGTAGTGTATGGGGGTGCAGCCCTGGCGTATCGACCGATGACGTCACACCGCGCAACGTCGTGGGGGGTAGTAGAACAGCAGGACACCCCGCCGCCCCCGTGCGTCGCTTGCTGCTCGCGCTCATGTTGGCGCTTGCGCCCCACTGGAGTGATTCTTCGAGCGCATCGTTGGAAATCGACCCAGGACCTGGACCGGGACACACTACTCTCCGCCTAATAACAATCGAGACAATACGGGGACGAGTGCATAAACGTCGCGCAAAGGCGCGAGTGTGTGTGGGTGCTTCAATATTATTTATAATTTATATTCATTGATATTTGTTAAAGCAAGCTGATAAAACGTGGTTCAGTGATTGATTGAAAATTGGCGTAGCCGATTAGTGCACGGGAAACGGTAGTTTCAGGCTCGCCAGCATGGGCACCGTGCTAAGTTTCAGCCCACGGGAGCGACGCCCAATACCGAGCCTGACATCCGCTACCGCTTCTCTAAACATCAATGGATCATCCAATAATTCGGACCAAGATGATTTGTCTTTGACCCGACCTTCGCTGCTTATGAATAACCATTCCTACGAGCAATTAAACAATGCCAAGAACCGCGAGAACAATAAACCGATACAACTTCATCACCATCATCACCATCATCACAATCACAACCAGAGTCAAGATATGAATCTAAATCTCTGCGTTGATAGAAACGATAGCGCGCGAATTTTATCTGAGAAGAATGCATTAGAGAAAAATCTTAAAAAACATTCTCTTTTCATAAATGCGCTTTCTTGGAAACGTTTTTCGGCTGCGGCTACTGGCAACAAGAAGAAAGTAGAGAACAATAACAAAAATAAAAACGTTACCGCGTTCAGGCAGCAGCAACAACAACAACCACTGCTGGATAATATTCGACCGTTGGTGGCAACTGTAGACAAAAACAAAAATGTTAGACATCAGCAAGTCGACGCTGCTGCATGTTTCTATGCGACTGCAACGGGCGTCGAGGCTGCTGCTGGACTTGCTTTAGATATTGTCCGTGCTAATAATGTTGCTAATAATAACATAAATAATATTAACAATATAAACAATAATAATAACAACAATTGCGGAGCTGCGCGAACGGTTGATAAATTAGGACCAAAAGCATCATTGCCGCCGCCAGCACCTCGAAAAACAGTTATCCAAGCTTCCACGTCCGAATTATTGAAGTGTTTGGGAATGTTTTTACACGCGCGATGCCACAGGCTTCGCGACTTTCAGGTGAGTTATATTACCGTTTTCTTGTAAAATCGTTGTTCAGTTTCTTTTATTGATTTCATAGCTGGATCTAATCTTGTATCTATGCATTAATATATATATATATATATATATATATATATATATATATAGCGGTAAAAATAAACTCTTTCAAATTACAATGCAAATTCACGAAATTTGTTTATTACTTTTATGACTTTTTCTTCTATTTACATATAATAATAGAAATGTTCTAAGTATATTTGAATATATTGTAAGTTTTAGTTGAAGAACAGAAATACTTTAACAAGAAACTACAACGGTAAAGTAACTTTGTGGAGAAGTTTATAATTTTATTTATACACTTTTTGATTGTTTTTTTGACTTTTTGAAGAACGTAATATGTTTACATAATAGCATTAAACTTATTATAGCATTTACCAGTTCTAATTTTAATAAAAGTACAATCAGTACTTTACAATGACGTGTATCACTTTGTAATTTCGAGAATTGTAGAATATCTCGTAAAATATGCTTTAACGTTAATTATTTAAATATGTTCATGTTTCGTAAGCTATTTTTTAATTTTGCATTGTGAAATATACGTAATAAAGTTGAATTTTGCGGCCGTATGAGATTTTAATGGTGCAATCGCGCGAAAATAGAGCAGATGTTATAAGGGCGTGTTACCTGTTTCCGATTTTGACCTATTTAGGTAATAGCCATTCCGTGGCAACTGATATTGGCACATTAAGCCACATGATGGAATAGAGTTAATACACGTTAGAATAGGTTTCCATTAATATACCAATTTCAAAGTGGTAAAGCTTCAGATTAGATTTACGAGGACCTCGATTACTAATTGTGTCAACCTGCCAATTAATCGACTGCACTGTAAGAATTCTCACAATTGAAGCATAATTGTCAAAAACTGTAATAACTTTTTCAAAAACGTGTAATTCTTAGAAATCCGAAAATGTTTTATGATATTTTATGATACACATTTGAAAATATGTGAGATATTATTTGTTTATTATTTTATTTTAATCTAAACTAGTTGTATATGGCGATGTTTTAAGGCAATTTTCTAGAACTACTCGTGGTTTAAAACTTTTAGAAGCTTTATTTTTTTTTGAAATTTTGGAAGGAATAGATTTTTTTGTGACCACCAAATGACATTTTCACACTTTTTTTCATTGCAGGCCCGAAACTGCTGGACTTGCCTTCCTAAACATTTTGTCAATTCTTCATTCCGTCAATACAAATGGCATGCTTTTTGACTTATTCAAATCGCAACTCCGTTCAGTCAAAAACTGAATTGCCATTTTTGACACTTTTTGCTAAAGCCAAAAACTAATCAGCGCGTCAATATGAATCGAATGTTTTTTAAATAATTCAAATTGGTTGATTGGTTGATCTGTGCTCTCGAAACCGTCGTCGAAAATTTGTATTCGCATTACATACGTACTACACACACACTGGGGTTTATACAAAAACCGACATTTTGGAAAACCGGTTTTCAAATAGTCAACAAATTTATTTTAATTTTAAATGGTAGAACAAAGATAATATAATAGTTGATTTGGATTAAATAACTTTGAAAATGATTTTTCGTTATTCATGCGTCATTCCTACATATAAGAATATAAATATTTTTATGATAGTGAAATAAAAGAGTTTGAAATAAAAATAATACATTTTTAAATAAAAAACTTAACTGTTAATTTTAAAAAAATTAGATACATATTGAAATATACTTTAAACATAAGTTAATATCAATTCAAGTTCTAAACACAATTAAACAAAACCCCTAGTTTATTCTATTCCGAACAATTTTAATTAATTAATTTCAAATATTTAATTATTTTTTGATTTAATGAAATATGATTGCTAAAAGCTGAGGACGCCTTTCTATTTGTTATTTAGAAGTGTCCATTGTTTACTCACAAAATTTTCCGAAATAGAAAACACTCTCACTTGCAACCGAACTAGGTCTAATCATTTTTAAAGCGTGATATAATAATTTTGAATATTTTGTTCTTTTATTTGTTGCTTCTAGGGCTAAACTCTTCTAAAGTTTGAGTAGAGCAATTCACTTCTTCAACAAGTAGTCGCATTGGTCTATATTAATAGATACATTGATATAATAATTTAAATGAAGATATACATTAGACAAAAGATAACATAAAACCTTTCTACATTAGACAAACTAAAACAGACTGATATGATTCCATATTTTATCGAACCGATAAGATTCCAAGTATCAAAATGTTTGCTTCCATCTAGTATATTTGTCATTTTCCATTTATACCGTGAAAACCAATTTTCCGCTAAAAAAACGGTTTTCAATTTTTATAATTTTTGTCGAAAAGCCTAACACACACTCACACATCAATTTTTTCTAAGTTATGCCAAAATGTTCAGAAAGCTTTGAAACGTAAATATATGCAATAAAATGTATTTTCTATTTTTTCAATTACTATAACTTACCTTACGGGAAGTTGAAAATGCTTATTTCATCATTTCATCATTTTGTTAATTTACCAGTTAGATGGATGAAAAATAAAAATACTAAAATACTGTCCTTAAATACAATCAGTCATATAATCAAATTATACAAGAAAAGGGCGAGTGTCACAACCGTCCCTCGGGTTAAAAAGGTATAAAAATAGGTAAACAATAAGCATAAACACCCAAATGTATTTTAACGACTTTTATTGACGTTAATAACAATAATATGGAACACAACAATTACAATTAAAATATTACAATATATAACAAAATATAATTTTTTAAACACAGTTTACTAGTATTTTTTGTGAAATCTTATTTATCTTGTATTTAATTTTTCTTTTTTTCACTCTTTCGTATTCTGTCTTTATTAGATTTCTTTATCTGTTCAATCTTCACCCGAAAAGGACAAGAAATGGCTTATTTTACTTCTGTTTATTAGATCTCGGAAATCGCTAAACCTGCTTCTCAAAAATTTGATTAGTTCTTCGTTTTGCCAATACATATAAAATGTTGTTTGAATCATTGATCAAAAACTGAATTACCATTTTTGACACTTTTTACTCCGTATCTTCAAAACGGCTGGACCTGCCTTTTCCAGAAACTAATCAGCACGTCTCCTCATCAATAAGAATCGAAAGTTTTTCGAGTTGTGCCCAAAATGTGCTCACACATACATACTCATACAAAACACACAACATACATTTTTCATAAGGTATGCCCAAAATTTCAGAAACAATTAAAACGTAAAGATATGTAATAATTTAAAACTAGCTGTAAGTGGAATTCTGTCTTAAGGCAATTAGGGCATCGTGCCTTAAGGCAAATTGCTGGAACTTCCCGTACCAATTATTATTTTTTTTTTAAAAACGATTAACATTTTTGAAAAAAATTTACTTCGAAAAAATAAGATTTTTGAGAAACTATAGAAATTGGACAAAAAATTACTTTTTTTTTGAAAAAAAAATTTTTTTTTCTAATTTTTTTTTAAAAAAAAATTAAAATTTTTTTTTTTTTTTGAAAAAAAAAATTTTTTTTTCATTTTGACATATTTTGGAAGATTTGAACTTGTTTTTCAAAGCAATCGTACTGCTTTAACTGCATAGAGATAAAATATAAAGCGCGTAAGCGCGGCGTCGCTGTCTAACGGATAAACATTGATACGGAACCCATAGGAAAATAAACAAAATTTATCCTTATTGTTAAAATCTCTATAAAATATCTGAAAATTTGATGTGCATATGTCTAATGATCATTTTTGACCGCCAAATGGCATTTTTTTTTTACTTTTTTCGTTAGATCTCCGAAACCGCTAGACCTGCCTTTATGAAAATTTGATCAATTTTTTATCTTGTCAATACAAGTAAAATGTTTTTTGAATTATTAAAATCGGATGCTCCGTTCTCTTAAAAACTGAGTTACCGTTTTCGGCACTTTTTGCCCCGTATCTCCGGAACGGCTAGACCTGCCTTTGCCAAAAACTAATCAGCACGTCTCCTTATCAATACAAATCGAATGTTTTTTGAATTATTCAAATCGGTTGATCCGTGTTCCCGAAATCGTCGACGAAAATTTGTATCCGCACATACATACACACACATACATACATACATACACACACACATACACACACATACACACACACACACATACATCCATTTTTTCTAAGGTATGCCAAAATGTTCAGAAACCTCTGAAACGTAAAGATATATAAAAATTTTCATTTTCGATTTTTTTGCGATTACTATAACTTGCCCTACGGGAAGTTAATAATACCTCTTCTTTTTGATTCATTTGTCAAGACTGATTATATATAAAATTATCTATTTGCTGATTCAGTATAAAATAATTTATCAACTATTTCGATGTAAAACAGCTTGATCAAGGTTTATTATTAGTTTATTGCCCAAGGTTAATGCATGTTAAAATATAAATGCATTCAATTGATTTTTGGTACATTACAACCTATCATTTTACATAGGTTATTTTATTTGCATTTGCGCTATTGACGAAACTACTTTATGTTAAAAACCTTCAGCAAAAAATCATACATCAGAGAAATTTAAGTTAAAATAAAAAATCAAATTAGATGCATGGCATTGTGTCGTCTCGTAACGCAAATTGCTGTAATTTCCCTTTTTTAATAGATCACTATAATTTAAATTTTTTTAAGATGAATAAATACTGAAATTTGAATCTATTTGATACAGTAGTAAAAAATCGCGATTTCAGTTGATAATTATGTTAAGAATGATCAATAAAAATGTCTAATACTTGATAAAGTATGTTACCTTTGACAAATTTTCCGTATCTTGGTTTCATATTCGCAAAGCTTGTTAAAATGGTCACCTTTTTCTGATAAAATAATCAGGAGTAGATAAAGTTAATAGTCTTTTTCTTGACACTGTTTTATTACATTTTTAATTTTGAAATTAATCCCGCTTTTTCAAACATTTTAAGTCATTTGAGAGATCGCTGGCTTTACACTGAATCGCTCTGAAGGCCGTACTGATAGTTGATAAGATGTTATAATGAAAAACCTATAACATAATGAATTTATAAATTTCAATCTCTTTTGAGTCAAACAGCTTCATTTTTATCATCTTTATCTGATTTGCTGTTTAACAGAATTATTTTCTTTAAAGTTCATTGGACTATTATAGCGAACCAAGGGAGACGAATAGTGTGGCATTTTTATTATTTATGACTACTCGAGATCTAGGACAAAAATTATCGTTTTTTATTTTTTTTAACTGAGTATTTTTGTGGCCTTTAAATTACTTGATAATTCTTGTAATTGGATCGTATTTCCTAACAGTTCAACAAGACTCAAAACGTTTCCTCAGAAGTTTGAATCACTGCCATCTACATTACATTTTTTGCTACACAAGTCTAAATACACGTCGAGCGTGCGAATAAAATCAAGGAGCTTTAGCCAAAAAGATTTTTTTGCTCTTTATCGAAAGATTAATGTGGTCAGCACTTTTGATACAAAGTACAAAAATCCAAATACATTTTTGATGTCTGGTGAGTTTGTATGGAATATACAAAATGTTTCCTGTCGTCATAGCCCTCAATCTAAACCCGAATTGCGCAAATAATCTTCACGGTGACGTTAGCCATGTAGGTTTTACAACAGACTTTGTAACAACATTGTCATAATTTAGAAAAGATCTTATGTCACTACCTTTAAGAAAAGGTTCTTAGTTTTACTTATGTCCGTTTTCAATCACGCTGCTTTGCACTTATCCGTATGGTACAGGTCTTTTACCTGAAATATAATTCTTTTTTACCTGTTTGTCCTGGATATGATAGTGGTGTTGGGTGCTACATTTCGTAATTCTGATATACTTGTTTTAATTACTTATTTTTGGAGCACTGTTCACCCGTCTTTTTATCATAAAAGTCAAAATTTTTCATGCATGGGCTAATTTGAGGTAGCTTTTTACTTTTTTCTTTCATTTGTCTTTGTTTTTCTCTTCCACTTAAATATCAAGAAAAAGATATTTCAAAATCTAACTCCATGAACAAAATTACTTAGCCACCAATTACGAAAACTCAAATATAACTAGTGGGGTGCATGGCATCGTGCTTTAAAGCAAATTGCTGGAACTTCCCGTACCGTAACAAAATGTTCGAGGAATATTAAATATTTTCAAATAGATAATTATAAATACTGTAACATTGTCTAATATTTATAAGAATTATATAAACTGAATTGCAAAATTGAAATTATTTGTTTAAAGTATATCAGAACTTTAGTTCAAATTAAAATTAAAATCTGAATTATTTTCAATATACAAAAAAAAATTTGAAAAAAAAAATTTGGAACAAAATTTTTTTTACCAAAAGCAATTATTTGGTTGAAACAAGCAGAAAGTTTTTTAAATCATTTAAATTGGACGCTTAGTTCTTTCAAAAACTGCCATTTTTTGTACATTTAGCTTTGTATCTTTGAAATGGCTGACCCTGCCTTTGCCAAAAACTAATCACCTCTTCCGCAAAACTCGATTTGTATTTTTTGCACTCTTTGCTCCGTATCTCCGTAATGGCTGGGCTTGCCTTTGCCAAAAACTAATCAGCACATCTTCCTATCAATAGAAATCGATTGTTTTTTGAATCATTCAAATCGGTTGATCAGTGCGCATGAAAACGTGGACGAAAAAATGCGGACATACAAAACACACACATATAGCCACATATCCATTTTTTCTGAGGTATGCCAAAATGTTCAGAAACCTTCAAAACGTCGAGAAATGCAAAAATTTTCATTTTCGATTTTCGGCCGATTACTATAACTACCCTACGGGAAGTTAAAAATTACAAATTGTCAGAATAATCATCCTAAAATACGCCGTTAGTTGAGCTTTCCTAAAAATATCAAATCCATAATCTCGTAGTGGATGAGTTCTAAAATGTAAAAAGTCTTTTTTTGTAACGTTTTGAAATTGTTGACGATAAACTTGAAATGATATAACTTTGAATTTTAAGCTGATCTTTAAATATAAAATATACATTTCGAGCAAAATAAAATACTCAGGTACAATGCAAAACAATTTTTTCTGCCACCTTATAGTTGTGTCACTGCAATATCGTTAACTAATAGTGTGCCAGGATTACAGATATGTTAAATAAGCGCTTGATGACTAATGCAAATATTTTGCAAATTAAATAAAAGAATTGACAAATTCAACTCATGAAAATGAATTTTGTCAGTTTGGATGTAAATACAGTTTGATTTAAATATCTTTAAATGGATCTGCAATATCAATAATTTAGAATAATCTGTTTGAATTTGAAGTGTAAACATCTGATATCGCTCGTGATAATTTTTTCCTACACATTTCTTTCTGACAATGAGTAATGCGTTGTCTTTTCTTACGAGAAATAGTATCATTCATATGAAAATAATAAAGACCAGCATATTGTCTTAAGAAATAATGTTATTTTTATCGACAATAATATATATATGAAAAAAAAATTTAATGTGATATTAGTGATTTTGTATTAGTTATCTATTATGAAATTAAAAATGTTTTATTGGTTGTATGTCATATTTTTATACTTGACGTGTTTAACGAGTGTTCTTGTTTACTTTATTATCGCTATATTGCACATAATTTTCAAACACTAGTGATTTGACAATAGTGGATGAGGTAAATTATTAAATATTTTATGAAGTAACTATATTCTAATGAAACAGTTAAGTTTGATAGTATGCTGCCTAATTGTTAAAAATTAAGCATTTTTGTTAATCTCTATAATTTTTGTAGGTAGGTACTTTAAGATGCGTATTTTGTGGAATAACAACAATATGTTTCAAAGTGCAGTAATCGGCATGAAGTGACGCATTGCGTAAGAAATCGCATAAAGCGTGGTTGTTTTAACGGGGATATATATATATTAGGGTGGTTCTTAATATGGACATTTTCGAATTTCTTTGCTCCCAAGGGTTCAAATGGTTCTAAATTGATAAAAAACAATTTTCTGAAAGTTTTAGCTCTTAATATTAACTTTTAAATAGTGCGTAATTCAATCAAACTTTGTATGGAAATAGCATGAAATTTTTTTTGAAAATTTAAAAACTATTTGACATTGTTTGTTTATTATGTACGTGTGTCATCATTCAACAAATTCTAAATATTTGATAAAGTTTTCAAAAATTACAAGGTATACCAAATAAAAATATCAATACATATATCTAAGCAGAAAAAAACACAACACACAATTTTTAAAGACATTTTTGCATGAAAAAACAAACTAATAAAACAAGGGTGGGCTCGATTTTTTTAGACAGCCAGTGTGAGCTTGTTTAGACAATACCCATAAAATAACATGGGTCAGCCCACCCAGCCCACACGGTTCCGACATCCCTGTATATATATATATATATATATATATATATATATATATATATATATATAATTATATTGTATATGGGGATAGGAATATAGATTAAACAAAAACCAGAAAAACCAAAGGGTTAATTCGGGTTGACTATAAATCAATAAAATGTGATTTTAATCGGGTTATTAAGAATTTGACTTGAATGATATTACTTTGTTTTCGTTTGATACATCACCTGCCACTATAGAGCAAAATCTATTATAATATTTTTGTATATTTTTGTGAGCTCTATATACTGTTGATGTGCTTTAATATGTCTTATTATAAGTTATTTATAAATATCTGTTATAATATTTCAGGCGGGGGATGCTGTTATGTGGCTGAGAGCAGTGGATAGGAGTTTATTGCTCCAAGGATGGCAGGTACGAGCTGCAATATTAATTTTACACTTTTAACTTTTGATTTAACTATAATTTAACTATAAGTACAGCGGGGCTTAAAGGTCCGCGGGTAAAAAGGTTCACGACCGATATCTCAAAAACTAATAAAGTTAAGAATTTTTTAATAACAATATTTATAAATAGGGGTAAAGATGATACCCAGCCATTACATTTATTCTTATAATGGTTGATATAAATAATATCATAATAATGCTTTACAGTAAAAATATCGAACAACAGAAATATCAGAATTCTGATCACTTAGAAAATTGTGATACTGCAAATAATATGAGACGATGAATTTTCATACGACTTTGTTAACTTCCCGTAGGGCAAGTTATAGTAATCGCAAAAAAATCGAAAATGAAAATTTTTATATATCTTTACGTTTCAGAGGTTTCTGAACATTTTGGCATACCTTAGAAAAAATGGATGTATGTGTGTGTGTGTGTGTGTATGTGTGTGTATGTATGTATGTATGTGTGTGTATGTATGTGCGGATACAAATTTTCGTCGACGATTTCGGGAACACGGGTCAACCGATTTGAATAATTCAAAAAGCATTCGATTCGTATTGATAAGGAGATGTGCTGATTAGTTTTTGGCGAAGGCAGGTCTAGCCGTTCCAAAGATACGGGGCAAAAAGTGCCAAAAACGGTAGCTCAGTTTTTGAGAGAACGGAGCGTCCGATTTGAATAATTCAAAAAACATTTCACTTGTATTGACAAGATGAAGAATCGATAAAATTTTCATGAAGGTAGGTCTAGCGGATTCGGAGATATGGAGGAAAAAGTAAAAAAATGAGCCATTTGGCGGTCAAAAATGATCATTAGACATATGCTCATAAAATTATCAGATATTTTATAGAGATTTTAACAATAAGTATACAATTTGTTAACATTCCTATGGGTTCCGTACCAATGCTTATGCTTTAGACAGCGACGCGGCGCTTACGCGCTTTATATTTTGTCCCTATGCAGTTAAAGCAGTACGATTGATTGCTTTGAAAAGAAAGTTCAAATCTTCCACAATATGTCAAAATAAAAAAAAAAAAATTTTCAAAAAAAAAAAAATTAAAAAAAAAAAAAATTTTTTAAAAAAATTTTTTTCAAAAAAAAGTAATTTTTTGTCCAATTTATAGTTTCTCAAAAATCTTATTTTTTCAAAGTAATTTTTTTTTTCAAAAATGTTAATCGTTTTTAAAAAAATAATAATTTTTGGTACGGGAAGTTCCAGCAATTTGCCTTAAGGCACGATGCCTTAATTGCCTTAAGACAGAATTCCACTTACAGCTAGTTAGTGACTAACATTCGTTCGCCAGACTTTTTTTTTTCCCGTACTTCGATAAACCGGAAAATTCAATACCCTACCATTTGGAAAGAAAAGCTCATGAATACATAAACACCGCCTTCGCGGATTCACATTTATTTATCATTACTTCGGGGGTGGCTTGTCGTTACGTTATCTCCACTAAAGCGATGACGTTTGCTCGTGAAGCCAACGAAAGACCCCAGCCGAATGTTGAAACGGGGCGCCGACACATGGACCAATTTGCAATGATTGAAAAGTATGGAAAACTAGCTGTAAGTGGAATTCTGTCTTAAGGCAATTAAGGCATCGTGCCTTAAGGCAAATTGCTGGAACTTCCCGTACCAAAAATTATTTTTTTGAAAAAATTTTACTTCGCAATAATAAGATTTTTGAGAAACTATAAATTGGACAAAAAATTACTTTTTTTTGAAAAAAAAATATTTAAGAAAAAAAATTTTTTTTTTCTTTAAATTTCTTTTTTTAAAAAAAAAAAATGTTTTCTTTATTTTGACATATTTTGGAAGATCTAAACTTTTTTTCAAAGCAATCGTACTGCTTTAACTGCATAAAGACGAAATATCAAAGCGCGTAAGCGCCGTGTCGCCGTCTAACGCGTAAACATTGGTACGGAACCCATAGGACTGTAAACCAAATTCATACTTATTGTTAAAATCTCTATAAAAAATCTGATAATTTGATGTGCATATGTCTAATGATCATTTTTGACCGCCAAATGGCATTTTTTTTTACTTTTTTTATTAGATCTCCGAAACCGTTAGACCTGTCTTCATGAAAATTTGATTAATTCTTCATCTTGTCAATACAAGTAAAATGTTTTTTGAATTATTCAAATCGAACACTCCGTTCTCTTAAAAACTGAGTTACCGTTTTCGGCACTTTTTGCCCCGTATCTTTGGAACGGCTAGACCTGCATTTGCCAAAAACTAATCAGCACGTCTCCTTATCAATACGAATCGAATGTTTTTTGAATTATTCAAATCGGTTGATCCGTGTTCCCGAAATCGTCGACGAAAATTTGTATCCGCACATACATACACACACGTACATACATACACACACACACACATACATCCATTTTTTCTAAGGTATGCCAAAATGTTCAGAAACCTCTGAAACGTAAAGATATATAAAAATTTTCATTTTCGATTTTTTTGCGATTACTATAACTTGCCCTACGGGAAGTTAACAAAGCTATTTTTTTTCAAATATTATTATTTAAATAATTTGTTATTTAACGTTATTTATTAATCGAAATTACACAGATGCGTATTAGACTTTAATAGTAAGTACAGATTTTGTTTATATTTCTATGGGACGCCGCCGTGGCGCTTACGCGCTTCAATATTTCGTCCCTACGCAGCCACGCAGCGCGATTATTTTTCTAGAAAAGTTCAAAATTTTCGAAAAATTTCAAAATATAAAAAAATATTTCAATTTTTTTTTTTAAAAAGTCAATTTTTAAAATTTTCAAAAATCTATTTTTTCAGAGTTTTAAAAAAAATTCAAAGCTTTTTTAAAAAATGTAATTCTTATTACGGGTTCCAGCAAATTGCACGATGATTTTGGATAAAAGCTTTTTTCTTAAAAATTTTTTTATTTTTAACTTTCCGTAGGGTAAGTTATAGTAATCGCAAAAAAATCGAAAATGAAAATTTTTATATATCTTTACGTTTCAGAGGTTTCTGAATATTTTGGCATACCTTAGAAAAAATGGATGTATGTGTGTGTGTATGTGTGTGTGTGCGTGTGTGTATGTGCGTGCGGATACAAATTTTTGTCGACGATTTCGGGAAAACGGATGAAGCGATTTGAATAATTCAAAAACATTCGAATCATATTGATAAGGAGACGTGCTGATTAGTTTTTGGCGAAGGCAGGTCTAGCCGTTCCGAAGATATGGGGCAAAAAGTGCCAAAAATGGTAACTCAGTTTTTAAGAGAACGAAGCGTTCGATTTGAATAATTCAAAAAATATTTTACTTATATTAACAAGATGAAGAACTGATCAAATTTTCATGAAGGCAGGCAGGCAGGTCTAGCGGTTTCGGAGATCTAGTAAAAAAAGAAAAAAAAATGCCATCTGACGGTCAAAAATGATCATTAGACATATGCACATCAAATTATCAGATATTTTATAGAGATTTTAACATTAAGTATTTTGTTCCTATTGGTTCCATACCAATGCTTATCCGTTAGACGGCGGCGCGGTTATGCTTAAAGCAATACTATTGCTTTGAAAAAAACTTCAGAATTTTCAAAATATTTCAAAATACACTTTTCTTCAAAAAGTCTTTTTTTCAAAAAAAAGTAAATATTTGTCAAAAATTTATAGTTTCTTAAAAATCTAATTTTTCAGAGTAATTTTTTTTCAAAAATGCTAATCATTTAAAAAAAAATATAATTTTTGGTACAGGAAGTTTCAGCAATTTGCCTTAAGGCACGATGCCATGCGCCCCACTAGTTTAACATTAAAATTATTCTAAATTTACTAATAGTTGTTTTAACTTCCTGAAGAAGAAGGAGAAATTCTAATTTTATGTTTTTTCTACGTTTCAAGTGATTCTGAATCGTTAGATCCCAAATTTGAACAAAAAATGTCTGTGTGTATATGTGAACCGAGTTTTGACCTTTTGCCAATATTTTCTCAACGGTTGAGCCGATTTGAAAATTTTAGAAACAATTTGATAAAACTCAATAAGGATTGGGGTTAATTAGTTCTGTATGACAATCGGCCGAGTTGTTTTTTTTAGACTTTTCGGAATGTAAAAGTGTCCTCCTCAACCTTTTTGAAAAAAATTCGTAACCGAGAATCGTGCTGTTGTAATTAATAGCTATAATAGGTCCACAATAAGCTTTTAAATTATAAAAAAATATCAAAGTTTGGAATAATGAGCCGCGCGTTTAGCTCACTACTCCGCTCGTTATCATCAATTATTACTAGCAAATATATATATATATATATATATATATATATATATATATATATATAATATATATATATATATAACACTTAAAAATTTTGTTTGATTATCTAAATCTTATTGATGAAGTCGGTTATTTAGATATTTCAGGAAGTTCATACGGCTTGACTTAAAGCACAATGCCACTTGCAACTAGTTTATTACTAAATCATTTCTTAAGAATTGTTTAACATTGATATTTGCAATTTGCAAATTTGAAATCTACCTATTTTTATGACAAATTTTATAAGAATTTTCTGTTTTGTATTCCGTTTACTTGTCTTATTGTAAAAATTTCAATTTTTTTTCGTCAAAAAATAAATTTTTTTGTAAATGCAAGTCTACATTTGAATAGATACAATCTATTCTAATTTTATACTGATATAATTGTATTAACTCTATTTTATTCATTTATAATACAATGCATTCATTCTGCAATGTATTTTCTATTTTGATGTAACTTTATATCAAGAGTACAATTACGATATAAAATAATTGCTCCCTTAATATGGATATTGGTTAAAACGTAATGGTTTTCATCACGTTTTAAAATCACGTTTTATGATGACATACATTTGCGGATTACAATTGATATGTATGTCTATATTGCATCAAATTCTTCTGTTTTATCTGAGAATACAACATACATGTCTTTAGAGATATTTTATATGAATATTGTGAAACAAACTAA